TAGTGCTCAGTGCTGCGTATTAGATCGTCTAGTTTCTCCAAAGGATATGTGCTCTATGAGAGGGCATGTCCTCACGTAACTCATCAGGTTGATCTAGGTGTCGTGCATTACTCCACCCTACGTTGTGGAGACAACTGGAAGAAGGCGGCTAGTATGGGTTTCCATACGTAGTGATTTATCCGTCCTTCGAACGGGTCACTAAGAACTGTGAAGTTTGTGTAGCCCTTCGCAGTGTTCGTACGACCGTACATGGAATATTGTGTCCATGCCTGTCCACCACGACTTTTCCTGGACAAAATGGCGCTAGAAAGAGCGCTACTTATCGGTACTAGGTTGGTCGCGGGGTTACGAGGACAAACATACCTCGAACGTCTACTAATTTTAGGATACTTTCAATGCGCTATCAAAGGATTGGAAGGAACCTACTACTAACCTACCATCTTTTGACTTGGAAGGTTGGCCTGGATTAGTCCTGGCTATTTAGTCCCACTAGCTTATCTGGCCTCCTCGGGCAAACGTTGTCCGACAAAGATAGAGCGAAGACACGAGTATCTCGTCGAGTCATCGAGCGGCGGAACCAGCTTCCTGAAACTGTTGTCAAGAAAGCTACGGTTAAGGGATTGAGCGCCCACCAGATGCTGTTTGCGGGCAACACAAAACATTTCTTTTTCTTGACTAACGCTATCTTCATGGTTTGGTTCTAGTTTCCGCAACTTCCCTCAACATTAGTATTACCCTCTTTTGTAAATGCTATCTCTCACTCTTTAGCTTTGATTCATCTTCCTTTCTTACTTCACAAAACTGTCAGAGCAGGGACTGATAATTCGGATAAACTGGTCAACAAATTGGTGGGCCAGGGTGTGTTTCGGGTGTTTTCATTTCAGTCGGAGCACTTCTATCAAGAATGAACACTTAAGAGGTTCATTCTATCATTCAACACCACCAGAATTTGAACCTGCATTCCAGCTCACGGATAGAATTGCGCCCACGCCTCCTTCCCTGTTGGACCGCGTGGACTTTAAGGCTGACTTCTCAATGAAGATTCTTTTGGAGGCAAACACGTATACCCCGCCTGGTTCACGCCCGGTATTCCTATACACTGTGGCCGAACACATTGCGGCTCCTGTGTGTCATATCATCCGTCATTCCTTTGGGGTCGGGCAGCTTCCAACTGCCTGGAAGGTGGGGATGTTTATACCTAAATACAAAGGAGGGAACCGACTGGGTCCAGGCAAATGTCATCCTATCAGGTTGACTTCGACTCTGAGCAAAGGCATGGAACCGTTTTTGAAACGGACACCTCGTCTTCATCTCCCTGAATTGGCAGCACGGTTTCCCTAGAGCGCTTTCGTGAGCAACAAATTCGTTAGTGGCTAGGGGAAAATGGGCATGATCGTTAGATGCTGTGTTTGTTGATTTCGGTAAGTGTTTTGACAAGGTCCCGCATAAGCGACTCTTCTTTAAACTCTGTGGAATCAGCGTCAATAGCAAGTTCATTACGTTGTTCGCCGATTTCGTGGACGTTTGCTCCAAGCAGCTTAAAGTGCTCGAAGCTCTTTACGGACCAGTTCGCATGACCAGAAGGTCTCCCAAGGTTCTGTACTCGACGCCGAACTTTTCAATATCGTTATCAACGACCTGTCATTTGAACTGCATACCGACCGTTTACTCTACACGGCTGATAGGAAGCTGTAGATTGTTATCAAGTCTGGAAGATGCAGACAGATTTCAAGCGACGCTCGATCTGCTTCAGGATTGGTAAGTAACGTGGCAGTTGCCCATTAACCGTGACAAATGTGCTGTGCTAACACTCGGTGCTCCTGACTCACTTGGGGCTTACCACGTCGGTGGTTACTTGCTCAGAAATGTCAACGTGGAGAGGGATTTCGATGTGATTGTGTCTCCTGATCTCAACTCAATTGAGGGCACCCGGAACAGGACCGCCAACTACAGAACGCTTCACGCTACACAACGTGCCTTCTCAAGCCTGATCATAGCACTGGAGACGACTGCTTGCTTCGCAAGTGCGCTCAATGCTTGAGGACGGATTGCCTACTGCGGATCCTCTCACCAAGTCTGAACGTGACAGCATCGAGAAGGTTCAACGGCATGGATCAAACTCCGTTCCAGAGTTGCGGGACTTACCTTAGCTCCTACGACTGCAACAGTTGAACCAGTTCCCTTTGGGTTATTTTCGTCGCTGCGGAGCTAAGATACGCGCTCGACGTATTCTAAGAGGTGAGCTGGGAATTGAGCTGCAACAGTTCTTTTGTCTCAACACAAAGTGGGCAAGCCGAGGCCACAAGTGGAAACTTTTCAAACAGCGGCGACTCGGGGTGTGGTCCGCGCTGGCGCCATCCAGCCGGGTAGTGAATGTCTGGAACAGCTTTGGAGGCTATCGTCAAGGCGGAGAGAGTGGATTCTTTCAAACGACTATTGGATTCTCACTCTCAGTGCGCAGGAATTCTGCTGCCCCTAATGCAACCCTAGTGTTCTTCTGCGGAACCTTGTTCCGCAATTATCCTAGCAACCTTCGCGAAGATCGGGGAGTGACGGAGCTGACAAAGGAATTGAAATAGTTTCAAGGGTTCCAGAGGATCCTTGTTTAGCTGAATTTAGCATAACGGAGACTCAGGTCTTCGAGCTACTGCAAGGCATTAATCCCTCTAAAGCTTCCGGTCCTGATTCAATTCATCCGAAGCTGTTGCATGATTTGACCACCGAGCTAAATGGTCCGCTCACGTGCGTGTTTTCAATATCGCTGGACAGCTGCAGCCCACCTTCGGAATGGAAGGAGACAACCATCTGTCCGACTTTTAAGGGCGGTGATAGCGCTCTACCCACGAACTACCGGCCTGTCAGTTTGACAAAAGTAGTAGTCAAGTTGTTTGAAAAGTTGATAAGGAATTCAGTGAAGAACCACCTGAATAGATTCAACCTTCTCAGTGCTGCGCAACATGGATTCCGCAAAGGATTTTCATTTCAGTCTAATTTACTTGTAGCTCGTGAAAGCTGGGCCGAAGCGGTAGACAGTGGCCACGCTGTAGACTTGCTATTCGTAGATTTTTCGAAAGCTGTTGGCAATGTTCCACATCTTCGGCTCTCACTAAAGTTGAGATCTTACGGGATATCTGGTCGCGCCCTTCAATGGGTGTCTACTTTCTTTGAGGGTAGGGAACAGTGTGTACGGGTGGGGCGTAGCCTTTCGTTCAGGCAAGCTGTTTTTAGTGACGTTCCTCAGGGCTTGGTATTGGGGCCATTGTTGTTCGCGATCTATGTTAATGAATTGCCAGGAGAGCTAGGGGTGGCATCACTAATGTATGCTGACGACATTAATCGCTGGATTATTGGAGATATCCCGGGGGTCCTGAGGCAATGCAGCGTGCCTTGGACGGGCTCTAGGGATGGTCTACCTTATGGTTGATGCCCGTAAATGGGGCCATGAGCTCTGTTTTCCGAATTGGAACTGCAAAACCTCCCACCCGATATGTTGTCGGTGGTGGTAAGCACCCTGTTTTTACCCAGCAGGTTGGTTTAGGCGTCCTACACGTATCAGCACTTCATTCTGGAGAAAACTGGAAGAAGGCTGCTTGTCGAGGGTTTCGTGTGATGTGGTTTATCCGCCGCTCTTTCGGAATCTTAACGGCCAATTTGTTTGTGAAGCTATTTTCGGCATTGGTCCGCCCCCACCTGGAATATTGTATTTAGGCTTGTCCACCATATCTTAACCGAGACAAAATGGACTTGGAGAGGGTGTTACGAGTAGGCACTCGGTTAGTGCAGGGCTTACGGGGACGGACGTATCCTGAACGCTTGCTCCGTTTGAGGATGTACTCAATGCACTACCGAAGGATCAGAGGGGATCTGATTCTCACTTATCGTATTTTGGTAGGTAAGATTGGCCTGGACTTGTCAGGGCTATTCAGTCCCGCTACGTTACCTAATCTCCGCGGTCATCCACTGAAACTGCATAAACCACGGTCTGATAGGATTAGGACGGAAACTCGTCTAGCTCGCCGAGTTGTAGATCTCTGGAATTCGCTTCCAGATCACGTGGTTAGGGAACCTACGGTTAAGGGTTTTGCTCGCCAGCTCAATAATCTTGGATGGCAATAGCAAACCTTTCCTTTTTCCTAGCTGACTCACCTTCACTTTTCAGTTCTTTTCTTTAATGACTCAAATATCTTGGTATTCCACTTGCTTAGCTGTTTCCACTTTCTCTTTTGCCTACTGCGTTTACTTTTTTCTCTTTCTTACTTCACGTAACGGACCCTGCAGGGACTGCTAGTGCAGGAGAAATGGGCATTAATTGGTTGGACAGGGTGTGATGCGGTCTTTGTTTTAGGTCCATCAGTAGTTCAAAGTTCGCCAACTCCTGGTTCAACGACCCGCCGAAGAAGGAACACTCACGGGATAATCCTATCGTTCCAGTTTCGCTTGAACTTGAAATTGAACTTGAACACTTCTGCTCTCTACCAACCAATGATATAATGAACAAATGTATAACCGAAGTTGCCAAAATACCTTTTTCGTCACCGGAGCAACCACAAAACATCAAACATAAAAGTGCTGCGGGATCAGAGGTTTGCATATACCAGAAGCAGTACATACTTTATACGAACAACTGTGTCGTCCTTGGCCCCCAACTGACCTCTCAAACTCAGCTATTATTCGCAGTCGCCGTCGCCCTATTTTACTCCGTTCCTTTGGCGTTGGCTCAGCGCAGTACAATGGCGACTTCGAGTGCTAGTGGCTTTGATCGATTTATGACCATTTTTTCTCCTGAAGGAAGACTTTTTCAAGTTGGTTAGTTTTCGTTTGTTCTTCTTTTATTCTCAGAGTACTCCTTGAAGGCCGTTAGTGTGGACGGCTTTATTTCTGTCGGCGTCCGTGGCGAGGATTGCGCTGTCGTTGCATCTCAGCTCAAAATTCCTGATAAGCTCATCGACCGCGACTCAGTCACCCGTATTTTTCGTTTGACTGACTCAACAGGCTGCATTATGACCGGCATGTTGCCAGACTGTCACGCCCAGGTCCATCGTGCTCGGTACGAGGCTGCCAACTTCCGTTACAAATTTGGGTATGATTTTTGGCTAACCTCTCACCTCGTAGCTATGAAATGCCATGTGATGCCATCGCTCGTCGAATCGGTGAAATTAGTCAAGTGTACACCCAGTCAGCTGAAATGCGCCCTTTGGGCTGTGCCATGTTAGCGATTTCTTTCGACTTGGAGCACCAAAAGCCTATGTTATATAAAGTTGATCCCAGTGGATTTGTTGCAGGACACAAGGCAGTCGCTGTCGGAGATAAACAAGTGCCTGCCATGACCTTCCTAGAAAAGGAGGTGAGCATTTCGCACGGTCCACTTTGCTGATTCACATGTAGCCACCATTTGAAATTTTCTTGTGTTATGTATCTAGACGATGTCCGTAACATCAGCTGAATTTCTGCTCCTTTCAGCAACTCATGCAGTGTCTGTCTGTCTTGTGCAGATCGTATAGCTAAATCTCAAAGCGCTTTTTGTCCATCTTCGCCACCTATGGTGCAGACGCCACATCACTTCCCCTAAGGGCAGTATGTGCATCCGTCCGTTAAACCGTCCATAATGGTTGCAAAGCCTAGCCCGCCAGGTCGATTGACATAAATGGCTTGCTACGTTCGACCATTGCTGCCTTCGCAGCGTATCTTCTTTCAAGTGGGAACCCCGCATAAGCATGGTGTTCAGGGTCGTATATTTGGTGCAGGAAGTGAGTGAACCGCTCAGTACCGTTATACCACGCACGAGGATCCGACATCTGGGCCACGTGTTGAGCATGCTAGCACACCGACTTCCGCATCGTGCGTTTGAGCGACCGGGTGTGAATAGTTGTGGAGGACGGTAGACCAAGCGATGACTTGATCAAGTGGAATGAAAACCCTCACTTTGAAGTTGGTGTCGGTTTGTGTCTCCCGAAAGATGATGAACACGTCTGCTTGGATATGCTTGTCGACATGGCGAAGAGTCGACATCAATGGTGTTTGTCTTGTGGATTTCTTGGTACCTCCTCTTCTTTTTTCGCTTCCTCCAACAACGATCTCACATCTGATGCGTAATGTGATATTTATCAATATATTGCCTTTATGGTTTCTGTATTCTGTAATATTTTAAATCTGTTGTATTGCGGCACAGTAGCTGTGTCGCTCTCACCTTCAGCTATCGTGTATTGGGTATGATGACGATTTTGTCCTGTGAGTTCTGGCTTGCGGCTTAATAGTGATTTCTCTTTCGCAGCCTCGTTCGCCTCACCTTCGCTTGACTACTGGTATGAATATCGAACATAAAAATCAGAAGACGTAGATTGTGAGATGACGCCATCATTGGGTGCATCTTTCTCAATCACAAAAACGTGCCACATTGGAACATAAACAAACAATGATCATAGCTAACAAAAGGTGTGGACTACCACAATAAGCTTAGAGGCACTTTCAGCTGTTTTTGAATGCACAGCAGTGGTCATTCGCAATCGATAACACGCTTTTTGTGACTTTATTGGGTTGTAGAGAGCAGGAAGGAAATTTGCTGTCAATTTTGTCGATTCCCATTCAGCGCAAGGACGGTACAAGTCGCTGTGAGGCAGTCTTCCACATGGAAGCACAACAGTTAGCGAAAACAACAAGACCCTTGCTTTCTAACCAAATATGGACCCAGCAATCTATCGTAACCTCTCAGTTTGTGCGCCTACGACCGGTTTGTTACGGAGAATCAGTGTTCAGGCCCAGAGCAGTGCCGCGACAGTGGATCGATCCACAATTAGAGATCGAACGCGAATATAGATCAAAATGCGGATCTATGGGGAACCAACGGCACATCGGACCATGAACTTGAACTGTTTTAGTTGTGTTGATTAATCTTAATTAACATCTCCAATTTTGTTGTGTTAGTGGTTTCCTACAACCTATTTATTGCACCATGCTGGTATACAATACGAATCAGAATCGGAATCCCCGGTCCGGGTGGTCACTGGAGTTCTCATTTCGTGGCGGGTTGAACTTGTTGGGGGCGGCACAGCAGATCCAGGCAGGTTATCCGTACAGTCAGCGGAAACCGCAACAGATTTCTGACAACGCTCAGCTGCACGATAGCAGCAGGTTAGCCGTAAAATCAACGGCACCACAACACGGTTCAGGTGATCTGTTCCAGACATTCACTAAGCGACTGGACTAGGTGACGTCGATGCGGGCACGGAGCTTCTTCGGTTTAAATATCTTCCAGTGGTGTCTTGTTGAACTCTCTGCGGAAATTTGAAAAATCTTCAGCTTGTAGCCCATCATCTCGCAAAATGCGTTTGACGTAACTCAACTCGCCTCGACGACAGCGAAAATCCATGAAAACAAGGTTCATCTGTCGAAGCCGATGGGAGTAACGGAGCTCCCGGAGCAGCGAACTGGACTTCTATGCACGCACCCGGTCTTTGTAAGAGGTTAGTCCGCTAGCAGCCCGAGTTCACGGATTGGGCACACACTAGATGTAAACAGGATTCTGAAGATTTCCGACGTCATTTGAGAAAACGATCTTATGACAAAGAACGTTCTATCGGCAGCCGCAACCTGCTTCTAGCTGTCATAGGCTCTGCTTAGATCCGGAGAAATCAGTACGCCGAAGTACTTCTCATAGGCCGTATTCTTAATTAGGAAACCTCCAAACTGATGTGCGCCGAATGGATCAGAAGTGCCAATACGGATTACAGAACATCTATCCAGATTTATTGGTAACAACTACTTTACCGACCAACTGTGCAGCTTTGGAGACTTCTAACCATACTTTGAGGTCATCGGCTAATGTTAACTAATCCGGTTGAAGCTACGATAGGAGATCGCTAATGTAGACGTTAAAAAGTTCTGTGGAACGCTACTAATCATGAAAACAACCCCGAAATAAGATCCATTCGCGTTCACTTACATGTTACGCCCGACTGGAGAAGAAGCCTTGCATAGGGGATTTTGTCCAATACTTTGCCAAGGTCGACAAAGACGACGTGCAAACGGTTTCTAGCATCTAACGAGCGCGCCCATTTTCCCTGGTCATAACTAGCTTGGGTGTACCTTAACGTGATCACTGGAAGCCATGCTGAACGGAGAACAAGATGTGCAGCTTCGCAAGATGCAGTTGCAAAGCTCGATCGAGGATTCTTTCATGATTTTACAAACTACTGAGGTTAAATAGATCGGTCAGCAGTTATCAGCGTCCTGGGGCTTCCCTTCTTTGTATTTAGCCTTGAATGCTCTCCTTTTTTTAGCAAGCGGTAGGCGGCCGGTATGTACTCGGTCCCCGTTTTGTGGAACAATGGGGACTGCCTATCAGGGCGTGGTGAAGTGTTCGGGTGTAATTGCAGGAGGCTCTTTTCAACCACTTTCATACTGAATTTTAAGTTCTTCAAATTGGGGATACGCCGGCGCAGAGCTGCTGCTAAACGCGGCCTCTGCGGAACTAAACGGAGTATGGCAAGGCACGGAGGCTGGCTTTTTATTCATCTTCGTGAAGAATAGTATCATCGTCACAGGAATACAAGACGCATACTTCATTGCTAACTTTCGTACTTGTTCAAGTGCGAGAAAAGTACTTTGGGAGTAGCTGAGGACTCTTCAGTTAAGCGAAGTTCATACATGTCGTTCCTCACGTTTCTGAATTGTGCACATTTTCTTAATCGTTTCGTAGTTTGAATGGTCCAACATCGGCCGTGAAGACCAACATATTTCATAATTTGTGGTGCCTGTTTATGATGTCATCATCATCATCATCATACACGTTAGCTAGAGGTGGGGAACACCTCAGCTACTGTGCCGCAATACATAGAAAAAAGGCGAAAAAATGCAACTGGTGCAAGCTGGCTGAGCTACCGGTAACGGATGGGCATCGTTCCGGTAAGCTACCTGCCGGATACTGTGCATCAAAAAATTACTATTCAAATTATATAAGGCTAAACAATGAGGTCGAGGTTGGAGGGGGAGGCTAAGAGGGATGGGGTGGGACAAAGAAACTCACAGCACGAACGCCACTGAGGTCGGCTCCTAGCCATATCAGCAAGTGTGTCCAACCAAACGTGTTCATCGTCTTTCGGACCCCAACCAGGGAGCCGAGACGCTCCAACCGAGGCCAGCTCAGAAGTGAGGGCCTTCATTCCTCTGGACCAAGTCATCGCTTGGCCACCCCTCCTCTTCTTCCATCCACACCCCCGGCGCGCAAACAACACACGTCGCGGAAGTCGGTGGGCTGGCATGCGTAACACGTGGCCGAGCCATCGGAGCCTGATGCGTGAAATAACGGTGCTGAGCGGTTCAGTTCCTTTTCCTGTGCCATAAACAAGGCGTCGAACACGCTCGTTACTCACGCGGTGTTCCCACCAGATGTGAGTTAAATTACGAAGGCACCGGTGGTCGAACGTAACTAGCCTCTTCAGGTCCGCTGCTTTAAGCGGCCAGGTTTCACAACCGTACAGTAGGGCCGAACGTACTGCTGCATTGTACACTCTACCCTTCAGGACGAGAGTGATGTCGCGCCGGCGCCACAGGTGGCGAAGGTTAGCAAAAGCGCCTCGAGCTTTTGCTATACGATTCGTGATTTCATCTTCAATCCCACGGGCGCTGATACAACTTCCCAGGTAGTTGAATTTTTGAACGACTTCTAGCTGATCCCCACCAAGGGTCAGCGTAGGAGGCGGTCCAGGCCAATCTTGGAGGAACGCTTTGCACTTCGAGGGTGCGAAGCAAAGCCCGAGGTGACGGACAGCTAGTGCTAATCTGTCCAGTGCCGCTTGGCACCTTTGTGAGCTGTCGCAGATCAGGGCAATATCATCAGCATACTCTAAGTCAAGAAGTCGTTCTCCTGGGAGTAGCTCCACACCTTCTAAGTCGTGTCCTGTGAACGCGATTTCCATGACTTCGTCAACAGCGAAGTTGAAGAGGAAAGGTGACAGCAGGCATCCTTGTCTCACGTCGCTGGAGATACTCAAGGGCGATGACAACTTGGCCTAAGCGCTCACTCTGCCCGAGCTACGCGCATATAATGCTCGGATAATATTCACATATATCTCAGGTACACCTTTCCTGAGTAGACAGTCCCAAAGTGCATGTCTATCCACCGAATCGAATGCACCTTTGATATCGAGGAACACGACAACGGTGGGCCGCCAATATGTGTGACGGTGCTCCAACAACTGACGCAAGGTGAGGATGTGGTCAATGCAGCCACGACCTCGACAAAATCCAGCTAGCTCTTCACGAATCTGGCTTTCACAAGTGCCAGTCACTGTGAAGGATGGCTCTTAGATAAACGTCTTTCGCTAGCACCGGAACGACTAATTAATA